GAATCCCGGACCGCGCGGAGTCATGCACGATCAGGAGTTGCCTAGGTGTGCACCGGCCCTCATTGTGTTGTTTGTTTGTTTTAACCATTAATAAATACCGCAAATGTTAAATGTAACAATAAAAAAGTAAAAGAAAAATGAAAATATCATTTGAAAATTACTTTGTGCTAAAAAGTGACAACGGCTGTGGACTTACACGAGGAATATACATAGACGACCATTGCTGACTGCTTTAACACCGAGAGTCCAACTGCTTTCAGCTGAATGGAGTCCACCTGTGTCACATGATCTTAAAGAGACCCTGTCACCAAACCTCATATACTCATGTTAACAAGGCATTAACTGCACATATTATTGCCCCCTCTGGAGAGTCATGGGGGGGGGGGGGGTTTATGAAATGAAATCTGGAGCAGTTGCCAATGTAACCAATCAGCTAGGGCTGCAACAACTGATCGACATAATCGATTATTGAAGAAGTTGTCAACTTTTTCAATCATCGACTAATCGGCTTCCGATTAGTTGGCCCTGTCCACTGCTCCACACACGCTGCGCGCCACACTTCCTCCCCACCTCACGCTTGCCGCTGCCAGATCCGCCCACCCGCATCCACGCTCCACACGCCGCACCTCCTCCCCGCCTCACGCTCACCGCCCCATGTGGGCGGATTACAGCCGCCGATAGACAGGCCCGATCTCAGAAACAAGTTGCTGGAAGACTGCTCAGGTAAGCCTGCACTCTCCCCCCCCCCACATGGTGCTCTATAATGTATTGCTGGGATTAGTAGTCCTCAATAGCTGGCGGTATTCTGCATTGCGCTGTATAATGAACTATTGCTGGGATTTGTAGTCCTCTATAGCTGATGCCATTCTGCATTCATTGCTGTATAATTTTGCACTTTTGATTTCACTATATTGCACACACTTTATTTTTTCTTTCTTATTTCCAACATTTGAAGAATTCAATACTTCCGTGTGTCAGGTTCTTCTTCTTTTCTGCCTGTCCACAGGTGAAGATTGCTCTCCTTTTCCCTCTTTGGTTACTGCACTGAAAGATTCACCACAGAGGATGCTGAGGATATCGCACTCATGGTTTGCTGAAGAAGGAATGAGGAGAGAGCCTACTTTGGGCAGATAAAGCAGAGCTGTGAAACAATGAATCGCAGTCTGCAATACTGCTAGCCACCACTGGAGGGAGACTCGCCCGAATTTAGCTGGTTGGACACACACAGGGAATACAAATCTGGCTTAGGCATCATTCACACTAGAATCGGCTGGCACGTACAGCTCCATGCTGCGTGCATGCCTGTAAAGGGCAGCTCCCGGGAAGGACAGGTGCTGCGTGTCATTAGTACGCAGCCCCTGTCCTTCTCTACTGGAGTGCGCCACCCTACGTTAACCTCAAGTGCAGGTCCGTACGGATGTGGGTGTCCCGGCTCGGACGCAGACAGGATCCATCCTGTCAGTGCACGAGTATGTACACCCGCACGGATGTGCAGGGCGGGTGAGCTTAGGGCGGCGTATGTCCCATAGAGAAGGACAGGGGCGTACCAATCACATGCAGCACCTGTCCTTCCTGGGAGCGGCCCGATTTGGCTGTGCACGCAACACGGATCTGTACGTTCCGGCCTTTTATAGTGTGAATGAGGTCTTACCATCTGGCACACTCTTAAAGTGGCTATACACCTTACAACCATTGTACTTCTTATTTTATTAACTTTAACTAACTAACTAACTTTATTAACTAAGAAGTCCCCCTATGTGATAGCAAAGAGGATGTGACAGGTCCTCTTTATGGAGACATCAGGGGTCTTCAATACCCCTAATGCCACCTAGGGACCCCCAAAGAAGCTGATGAAGCAGAGATCTGCTTCTGAAGCTGGAGAGTGACGCAAGAATGCGGAAGTTATGTAACATACATCACTTCCGCATTCTGACACCGGAGAGGGGACTGGAGGAAGATCGTGTACCGATCTCCCGCTGATCCCCTGTCACAGAGCTGCCATGCTGGTCCCGGGCTTGCACCGGTCACAGTGGAGCCCTGGACCAGCGGGAGGGGGGGGCCGAGGAGGGGGCGCATGCACCGGCATGTTATACAAGCGATCCGCCGGCTCTGTAGCTGGCGGATAGCTTGTATGTAAGCAGGCATCGGTGCCTGTTTTTAAATCCGGGCAGTTTCCCGCACTCGCGCGAGTGGGCGTGGCTAACAGGCCATCTTTTTACGGCCTGTTACATCCAGGAAGCTCCCGGCTGGCCGTTTTCTGTACAACGGCCGGCCGGGAGGCGTTTTAAAGTAAACCTCTATAGCAGTGCTTCTCAACCTGTGTCACCTCAGGACCCACATTTGACCTTGGTCATTAAGTTGCGACCCAAGTTGCACTGCAATGGAACCACGGCATCGCTGTACCACACGTTTCAATGCGGGCGATAGAACTGTGGTTGGGAGATACATTTGGGGTGCAATTTAAACAAATGGCAATGCAATGCACTTCCCACACCAGAACATGCGGTAGGCGCTTTAACGCACTGTACTAGTGTGAATGGGCCCTCGAAAACACTCCATCCATCCATATGTGCATTGCTTGTACAGCTCCCTTGTGAGTAGAGGTGCCAGGAGCCAGAATGTGACGTGACTCCGGTCCAGGCACCTCTACAGGATGGATGGACCTACCTCGCGGCCATAGTCCAACTCAGCACTGGGCAGCATATTTTTAATAGCTGCTGGGCGCAAAAACTAGGTGGAGGCTGAGGAGCATATCACCTAGAAAAGTGGAAGGCACGCTGCAACCCCCTGAACATGGGGTTTGCGACCCACTTTTGGGTCACGACCCGCCAGTTGAGAACCAAGGCTCTACAGAGAATAATATGGAGGCTGCCAATGCTAAATTCTGTCTGTAAACTCATTACCGTCCAACAGAGCAAACATGCAGGTCAGGCAAATCAGGACTCAGTACCGTCTGCATAACCAACCCAGAGCAAGCACGCAGGTCAGGAAAGTCAGGACTCCGGGTGTGCATGCTTGTTCCAATTCGAAGCAACTTAGTACTGAAGAACCTGATCAGAAGGACAGCCTGGGAACTATTATTTTCATAAGGAGAGGTCCGCAATAGCTGCTGTACTTCCTCAGTCCAAGGCCATGTCTGAAGAAAGCCGGAGAAGAGGGGAAGGGAGGGGTGATGAGCCACTCCTCTGACTCATTCCCTTGTCTCTGTATAAAACTCAGCTTGACTTATTACAACTCTGTGAACGGCAAGCTGTAAACATGTAAACTGGCCAGATCTATAAATAGGACTTCTTCGTTTGCAATATTTCACATTTACATTTTTTTATCTCCTGAACAGGATATAACGAAATAATCCTATACATTCCCCTTAACGGGAGCGTTAACACAAGCTTTAACCCTTTAAAAGCGACAACAGGATGTAAACAAACTCGTGTCTGCTATTGTTTACATCTTGGTGAGCTGATTCCTGGCTATGCAAAGGAAGTGACAGCGGGCCCATCACTTCAATCAGATGGAAACGGTGAAAAAAAAAAAAAAATTTGCAAAAAAAATTAAAAATGTATTACATTTATTATAATATATACATATATACACTATATTACCAAAACTATTGGGACGCCGGCCTTTACACGCATATGAACTTTAATGGCATCCCAGTCTTAGTCTGTAGGGTTCAATATTGAGTTGGCTCAGCCCTTGGCCGCTATAACAGCTTCAACTCTTCTGGGAAGGCGTCCACAAGGTTTAGGAGTGTGTCTATGGGAATGTTGGACCATTTGTGAGGTCATGTACTGATGTTGGGGGAGAAGGCCGGGCTCGCAGTCTCCGCTCTAATTCATCCCAAAGGAGTTCTATCGGGTTGAGGTCAGGACTCTGTGCAGGCCAGTCAAGTTCCTCCACCCCAAACTCGCTCATCCATGTCTTTATGGACCTCGCTATGTGCACTGGTGCGCAGTCATGTTGGAACAGGAAGGGGCCATCCCCAAAACTGTTCCCACAAAGTTGGGAGCATGAAATTGTCCAAAATGTCTTGGTATGCTGATGCCTTAAGAGTTCCCTTCACTGGAACTAAGGGGCCAAGCCCAACCCCTGAAAAACAACCCCACACCATAATCCCCCCTCCACCAAACTTTACACTTGGCACAATGCAGTCAGGCAAGTACCGTTCTCCTGGCAACCGCCAAACCCAGACACGTCCATCGGATTACCAGACAGAGGCATTCCTATGCCTTTTTTTTAATTCTGACAACTGCAACTGTCAGAATTTTTTTAAAAAACCCTGCAGATAGCAAAGAAGCTATTGCTTCCTGTGCTATCTGCCATCATTTCAGGGGGGTGCGCTCTCTCAGCCCCCCCTCCGCAGATGGGGGTGGGGGAAGAGGGCACCTCCCTTAAATGAGAGGGACACCTCCCTGAAATGGCTTCTTTCAGGTTGGGATCCCTGCAATAATCCCACACATGTAACAATATTTTTTTTTAATGTGCAATTTTCTGTTTTAATTTGCAAGATATGGGTGAAGTTCCTGTTGTGAAGAAATACATGTCACTGATTAGCAGAGGCTAGGCTCGCCATTGGCCGTAATTGACCAGAGCCCCACGTCCTGCGCTCTGTATGAATCTGAGAAGAGAGGCGCCATTTCACCCTCGTTATTAGAAGACATGAAGAATACAGGCGGCCCAGTATGGAGAACAGGAACCCGCGCATTACCTCAGCAAGACATGCGTCACCACCGCCACGCCCCAATCCTCCACCGCCACGCCCCAATCCTCCACCGCGCCTTCCTACGCCACGCCCACTGCCCCATCTCCCAGCCCGACCCCTCTGGCTTAAGATCCTTTTTCATTGGCTGGATGAGCTGTCAATTCGCGCTCAGCCGAAGAAGGAGAGTGGGCGTGTGCTGGGCGGGGCTACTTCCCCATATAATAGCCGCAGAGCCGCCTTCTGTAGGTTCTTTTCGGGTTGCACTTTCGCTTCGAGAGGAGCGGTGACAAGAAAACAATTCAGTTCTTTTTTCGCATCGTTCGCCGGCTTTCCGCCATGGCCAAAACCCGCGTTTTCTTCGACATCGTCGCCGACAGCTGCCCTCTAGGCCGCATCGTTATTGAGGTGAGTGAAGAAGGTTTGAATGAATGGCGAGGGCGGCTAACACTGCAGGGCGGACAAAAGCTTTGGCGCCCAGGTCACGTGGTGTGGCGGCGGCTTTTCCGCGTGCCTTGTGGGTGCTGTCATGCATGGTGAAGGCGCGATATGCGGGACATGTTGTAGGGGTGGGTGCGGTAGGGGCTGGTGAGGGAAGGAACGCCGACATATAACCGGCCACGAGGCGTCAACACGCCGCATGGTAATGGCTGTGTGGTTGCTGTGATTCTGGACTCTGCGGTGCTCCATGCACCGGGCGGCTCTCCGCAGTGTCAGGCGGAGATGCCGCAATACTGGCGGCGGCGCTATGCTATCAGCCCGCTGTGAGCAGGTACCGGGGCTCAGCCTATGGCTGCCGCAGGAAGAGGGCGTGTACTTTCGGCTTTCCCCGCCCACCGTGTCGGGGCTGGGAGTCCATTTTAGGATGTTTAGCTAAAATGTCTCCTTTGCCGTATCTGCGTGACATGGGGAGGGGGGGCACCCCGCCCTCCGTGTGCGAGCCTGTCGGGATGGGGGGGGGGGGGGTTTGGGTGGGGGTGTT